CTACAGCCTACCAATATATATCACACATATATATCATTTGACACACCCCCACTGCCTACATCTCCTACAAACTGAGCCTGCTTCGCCTTCTCCGCCTCCGCCTTCTCTTGACTCTCCAACGCCTGCTTGTGTGCACGGGATGAGGTGTGAGCGCGGATGCTGCTGATCTGGAGATCCCGCGCACCCTCACCCCTCGGCCCGTACGCGGTGTGCGCTAGTGGGTCTCCATGCTTCACACAAATAGCACACATGCTTGAAGCTGTCCTTGACAGCGAATTCTGCTGTGGTGGCGGTGGGCGTGGCTGTGGGTGGCAAGATTCGAGAATGACTTGGCAGTCCTATGGAGAAACGACACATGGGCAACATGGCGCGTTTCCGACAGCGAAGCAAGTTTCGCTACGCGTGCTCACAAGCGACAACAGGTGTTTGTGGGGGTGTGGTACATTTCGTCACCACGCGGACTGTGGTCTGATTCGCGCTAGGGAAGATTCGGTAAAAGGGTAATGTACACCCAACCCTGATTCCGTCAGGCTAACTATAAAACCTATCAGGGTAAAACAAAACATGCTCTTTTGAGAGAAGGGTAACTATCCGGCATTCCTGATTTCGGCAGGGTAATCCCGAAAAACCGGCCGGCCCCCAGGGTAATCAGGGTGTTTTACCCTGATATTTTGGGCCCTGCATGGAACACACCTAAACAACTCATTCTACCTCCAAATATTTAGCACAAACGTCAGCAATACCAGATGTGCCATTGTCCTTCCCGAAACGAGTGTTGAGTCGCCTAAAAGAAACCAACCTGTCAGTACAAGCCAGGCCTGTTTAGCACACGCGTCGGCTCAGAAACCACATGCTCCATTCTCCTAGCCGAAACCACCGAAGCCCTTCGACTGAATTGGTCTCCTCTCTCAATCGCACTGCCAACGCGCCCAGATACGCCCATACCCATATGTCCCTCCCCCACCCCCCCATAAGGCATCTGCTGCCCCAACTCTCTCAGCCTCTCTATCGATCTTGAGTGACTATCTGCCGTTTGCTGCAGCAAATCCCGATGGAAAGTGCCCATAGCAGCCACTCTCTCCCTTTGCTCACGCAGATTCTTCTGCCACCGCTTCCCCGGACCTATATGGTTCCAGATCTTCCCCACCGAAGCTGTGGTTCGGACCAAGGATGGGGCCCCAGCCTCGGGTGACCTGCCAGGTGTCGCTTGTGGATTGGCCGGCGACTGGGCAGTTCCCAACCCAGAGGCGCCAGGTGTCGACACTTGAGGTCCCTCCACTCCCTGCTCCCCTATCTCAAACACATCATCATCATCGTCATCATCCTCCAAAGCTCGAGTTAACGAGGACCGATTGATCGTGCCCCCCTTGGGATCATCATTATTATTGGATGAGCTCTTATGCATTCCACCGTGGGAGCCCTGAGCGCTAGTTGGAGTTGCAAGCTGGAAAAACTGGCCTCCGAGGCTCGGACTCAGGCCCGGGCTCAGGCCTGGACTGAGACCACGAGCCGCTGGCGGCAATCCAGACCTGCCAGTGTTCGATCCGAGCCTGGCTAGGTCCGGGAGGCTGGCGGAGCTCGGCATGGTTCGGCGCACTGGCAAGGTAACAGATCCTGTGGCAAGGCTCGATACATTCGGCAACCCCGCCGCGCGGTTACCAGTAACAACTTGAACGACGTGGGTATTGCTGCTGCCACTGCAAACCCGCTGCATCAAAACATCAGCGGCACCACTGATGCTCCCGAGGTGACCGCTACCTAGGGAACTGCCCATGCTCTGGTGTGAAGGGAAAGAGTAACCAGCAGCGGTAACCACGTGGGTAGTACTGCCAGTAGATGCCGACCGGTTCGAAAGAATAGGGCTGCTGCCTGCGGTAGTGAGCTGGCGGATAAGCGGGCTGGCACCGGAAGCAGCAGCAGCAGAAGCAGAGTGGTGAGAGATGACACTAGAGCCGTCGTTATAGATCGAGACGAGTTCGGCCCATGACTGGTGCAGGCTGGTCTTTACTCGCGTGAGATTGGACCAGGATCGGCTGTTGCTCCTGCTAGTGCTGCGATTGGCGCTGCTGCCAAAGTGTACTGTCTTGCTGAAAGAGACTGTGAGCCGCTGACTCCTCTTCTGCTGCCCCTGCTGCTGCTCTCCTGCTGCTGCTGCTGCTGCTGCAGCTGCTGCTGCTGCTCCCATCTTCTGGAACCTCCTCATCATCCTCTAGCCTCCGCTGCTGCCTCTGCCGCCACGGCCGCTGTTTCACATCCTCTCGCATGATTGGCTGGACAGGATACTTCTGCTGCTGCTGCCCCTGCTCCTGCAATTTACCCCCACCCGCACTTGCACCTGCCTCCTCGTCGTTCTCCTGAATTTCACGACCCTCCCGTGTCTCCTCCCCCTCTTCATATTGCAAGCCTTCAAAGACAAAGCTTTTTGGCAGGGCTTGGCTCACTCGAAGAGCCGTCTTCTTGGGGTTGGAAGCATCATTTGGAGCATTGGAAATTTCGTTGTAGTCACCTCCCTTTAGAGGCGTGGTTTCTCGAGTGTTTGTTCCGTCGTCGTCGCCGGTGTTGTTTACGTCAAAAGCGCTGCTTGTTTCGGCGTTTGCTTGCTCTTTTCTCCTGAGAGTAACAAACACAAGGAGAAAAACATGGGCATGAAAACCGAGCAAACAACAGGCAAAGATCATGGGAAGCAAGGGAAGGCACAGGGAAGAAAACAGGTTTAGAAAGAAAATTGCACACACATGCATGCAGAGCCAACACGTGTATACACCTGCACACACATCCGTGTACATGCACACACATGCACACTCACATGCCCCCCACATACATAAACAGAATCCACCCACTCACATGTTGACATGCACGCGCACGCCTTGAACCATGATGATATTTGCAAACAGCAGGCACACTCCCAAAGACAGCCCCAGGTAGACGAGCATGAAAACACATGCACCCACATGCACTCATGTGAACCGCACTGCACTCCCACTCACATCTTGACATGCACGCGCACGCCTTGAACCATGATGATGATTGCAAACAGCAAGCACGCTCCCAGAGAGAGCCCAAGATACACAAGCATGAAACACATGCACGGTTACTTGCACCCACCCACCTGCACCCACTTGCTCCCACTTGCACCGCACTGCACTCCCACTCACATCTTGACATGCACGCGCACTCCTTGAACCATGATGATGATTGCAAACAGCAAGCATGCTCCCAGAGAAAGCCCCAAATAGACGAGCATTATGCCGCTGAAACTGCGGAAGCCCAGTTGCAGGGTGGAGGAGGAGGCATCATCGCATGATCCTGTTGTCTGTTGGAATTGGGGTGGGGGAGTTAGGGAACAGAAGGAGAGGTTAGAGGCAGCCCCAGGTAGACGAGCATTATGCCGCTGAAACTGCGGAAGCCGAGTTGAAGAGTAGAGGAGTCGTCATCGTAGCACGATCCGGTTGTCTGTTTGGGTTGGGAGGGGAGTCAGGGAACAGAAGAGAAGTTAGAGACAGCCCCAGGTAGACGAGCATTATGCCGCTGAAACTGCGGAAGCCCAGTTGCAGGGTGGAGGAGTCGTCATCGTAGCACGATCCGGTTGTCTGTTTGGGTTGGGAGTGGAGTTTGGGAACAGAAGAGATGTCAGAGAGAGAGCCCCAGGTAGACGAGCATGATGCTGCTGAAACTGCGGATGCTGAGTTGAAGGGTGGAGGAGGAGGCATCATCACACGATCCGGTAGTCTGTTGGCATTGGGAGGGGAGTCAGGGAACAGAAGAGAAGTTAGAGACAGCCCCAGGTAGACGAGCATTATGCCGCTGAAACTGCGGAAGCCAAGTTGCAGGGTGGAGGAGGAGGCATCATCACACGATCCGGTAGTCTGTTGGCATTGGGAGCGACCGGGGTTTGGGAACAGAAGAGAGGGAGGAAGACTGTTGAGGTGCCCCCAGAGACAGCCCCAGGTAGACGAGCATTATGCCGCTGAAACTGCGGAAGCCGAGTTGAAGGGTGGAGGGATCATCACATGTTCCTGTTGTCTGTTGGAATTGGGGTGGGGGAGTTAGGGAACAGAAGGAGAGGTTAGAGACAGCCCCAGGTACACAACACGAGAATTATGCCGCTGAAACTGCGGAAGCCGAGTTGAAGGGTGGAGGGATCATCACATGTTCCTGTAGTCTGTTGGAATTCGAGGTGGGGGAGTCAGGGAACAGAAGAGAAGTTAGAGGCAGCCCCAGGTAGACGAGCATTATGCCGCTGAAGCTGCGGAAGCCCAGTTGCAGGGTGGAGGAGGAGGCATCATCACATGATCCTGTAGTCTGTTGGAATTGGCGTGGGGGAGTTAGGGAACAGAAGTGAGGTTAGAGACAGCCCAGGTAGACGAGCATTATGCCGCTGAAGCTGCGGATGCTGAGTTGAAGGGTGGAGCAGGAGGCATCATCGCATGATCCTGTAGTCTGTTGGAATTGGTGTGGGGGAGTTAGGGAACAGGTGAGAAGTTAGAGACGGCCCCAGGTAGACAAGCAGGATGCTTGTCCCCCCCGTCCCCCCCCTCTCTCCGCCCCTCTCTCCCTCCTTTTCTCTCACCGCAAACACATCTTCTCGTATCCTCTGCAGTTCCCCACTCGCTCGTGCCTCGTACAGCACAGCATGTGATACTCTCTGCCCAACTACCTCCTTTCCCCCTCCTTCCTTCTTAACCCCTCCCCGCCCTTCAGCCCCTCTGCACCACCCCGCATCCCCCCGCAGCCCCCTGCACTCACTGCAAAGACATCTTCTCGTATCCTCTGCAGCTCTCCCTTTTGTGTCACGTACAGCACAGAATGTGCCACTCTCTGCTTAACTACCCTATTGCTTTCTCCTTCCGTCCCAACCCCTCCAAGCCCTTCAGCCCCTCTGCACCCCCCCGCACCCCCCCGCACTCACTGCAAAGACATCTTCTCGTATCCTCTGCAGTTCCCCACTCTGTGCCACGTAGAGAAGAGCATGTGCCACGTCATCAGCCAGATGGGACCCAATGGGAAACGCCTGGTGTAGAAGGGGGGGAGGGGAGGAGGAGGAGGAGGAGGAGGGGGAGGAGGAGGAGGAGGAGGAGGAGGAGGAGGAGGAGGAGGAGGAGGAGGAGGAGGAGGAGGAGGAGGAGGAGGAGGAGGAGGAGGAGGAGGAGGAGGAGGAGGAGGGGGAGGAGGAGGAGGAGGAGGATTTACAGAAAATGATTCTCCAATAACTTAAGGTGTATATAAAACACATACTGAGTAAATGAATGTGGTAATGTCATATAATTGCTATAATAAATGTACTCCAGGCTGTTTTGAGAAATAATGAAGCAAAGGGTGCTTCTTGAAAATGTAAAAGTACAAATAGCTTAGAAATATATGTATGTATATATTTTTCACACAAATTGGAAGCGCAGATGGATAGGAAAATGTGAATCACAGATTATTCACAAGAATAAGAAAAAAAAAAAAATCCAAAAACTAAACAGTGCACAACTTCGCTCACAAATGCCAAGTAGATGTTCTGAAGGTTCTGCATTGTGACGAGCATGCCGCAGTACTGAGAGCTGAACCTTATGTGAGTTGACACAAAGTCAATATTGCTCACAAATGCGAGGTAGATATTCTGAAGGTTCTGCATCGTGACGAGCATGCCGCAGTACTGCTGAGAGCTGAACTGAACGACTTTTGATGTACCTTAAAACCGCAAGACATGAGGAGACGACTTTGAAGCGCCTTAACACTTCGCTTACAAATGCCAGGTAGATATTCTGAAGGTTCTGCATCGTGACAAGCATGCCGCAGTACTGCGAGCTGAACTGGGCGATGTAGGGCGTCTGATCCACTATGGCCTCCACCCTCCGTGATGTGAGTGCCTCGTAATAGTCGCTTTCACTATTGAGCGGCACCAGCTGGGACTGGGAATGAGAAGGGAGGGTGGGGAGGAGGAGCATGAGCACGCTGCAGTACTGCGAGCTGAACTGGGCGATGTAGGGCGTCCGATCCACTATCGCCTCTACCCTCCGTGATGTGAGTGCCTCGTAGTAATCACTCTCACTGTTGAGAGGCACTAGCTGCGACTGGCAGGGAGGGAGTGGGGGAGCAAGGGTGTGCGGAACATCAAGGGCGTAGGTAGGGGAGCATGCCGCAGTACTGCGAGCTGAACTGGGCGATGTAGGGCGTCTGATCCACTATCGCCTCCACCCTCCGTGATGTGAGTGCCTCGTAGTAATCAGCCTCACTGTTGAGAGGTACCAGGTGGGACTGGGACAGGGGAGAGATGGGGGAAGAGGGGGCCAGGGTGTGAGGAGGAGCAAGGGAACAGGGGAGCATGCAGCAGTACTGCGAGCTGAACTGGGCGATGTAGGGCGTCTGATCCACTATGGCCTCCACCCTCTGTGATGTGAGTGCCTCATAGTAATCTGCCTCACTGTTCAGCGGCACTAGTTGAGACTGGGAGTGAGGGGAGAGATGGGGGAAGAGGGATGGAAGGAGTAAGGGAGTGCCTTGAGCATGCCGCAATACTGCTGAGAGCTAAACTGGGCGATGTAGGGCGTCTGATCCACTATCGCCTCTACCCTCCGTGATGTGAGTGCCTCGTAGTAATCACTCTCACTGTTGAGAGGCACTAGCTGCGACTGGCAGGGAGGGAGTGGGGGAGCAAGGGTGTGCGGAGCAGCAAGGGCGTAGGGCGTCTGATCCACTATTGCCTCCACCCTCCGTGATGTGAGTGCCTCGTAGTACTCTCACTGTTCAGCGGCACCAGCTGGGACTGGGAGGGGGGAAACGGGGGAGGAAGCAGCGGAGCAGAAACTGATGAGCCGTCCCTGCCTTTAGTGCCTCGTAGTATTCAGCCTCACTGTTGAGAGGTACCAGCTGGGACTGGGAGGGGGGGAGTGGGGGAGCAAGGGTGTGCGGAGCAGCAAGGGCGTAGGGCGTCTGATCCACTATTGCCTCCACCCTCCGTGATGTGAGTGCCTCGTAGTAATCAGCCTCACTGTTCAGCGGCACCAGCAGGGACTGGGAGGGGGGGAAGAGGGGGGGGAGTGGGAAGAGGGAGGAGCACTCAGCATGGTGCAATACTGCAAGCTGAACTGGGCGATGTAGGGCGTCTGATCCACTATCGCCTCCACCCTCCCTGCCTTTAGCGCGTCGTAGTGATCAGCCTCACTATTCAGCGGCACCAGCTGGGACTGGGTATGGGGCACAGGGAACAGCGAGGACAGGGGGGCCAGGGGGGGAGGGAGAAACATTGAGCATGGTGCATATACTAAGACGTGAATTGGGCGATGCAGGGCGTCTGATCCACTGCCTTTACCATTACCATTACATTATCATTACCATTACCATTACCATTACCATTATCATTACCATTACCATTACCACTATCATTACCATTACCATTACCATTATCATTACCATTATCACCACTATCATTATCACTGCTATTATCATTACCATTACCATTACCACTACCATTACCACTACCATTACCATTACTATAACTACTACCACTACTATTATCACCACTACCATTACCATTACAAATACCATTACCTTTAACATTACCGTTACAACTACCATTACCATTACCACGACGATGGAGAAGTGGGAAAGCCGGGGCGTGCAAAGCAAGGGAACAGCCTGGTAGGATTGGACGAAACCCCGGCTTGGTTCGGAGGCTCGAGGGCGCCTCAGGAACCGACTCATCATGGGCTGGGTCGAAACAAGCACAGACCTTTGATTATTAGGATGAAGGAAGCAAGGACTTACCGGCTTGACCCGATTTGCAGCAGGTAGGATCAGACGAAGGACCCTGCCAGGTTAAGGCTGCCCCCTTTGAGAAACAGTAAGGAGGTGGGAATAAGGAAGGGCTTACCGGCTTGAGCCCGATTTGTAGCAGGTAGGATCGGACGAAGGACCCCGCTTGGTAGCCAATGATGGAGCCCCGGACCACTGCCTCCCCAACCGACTGCTCAGTCACAGGCAGGGAAGGTCGGGAGATAGAAAGATAGAATGGAATAACTTTTGAGTTGACTCAAAAGGATCGATCGAACTAAGGATCCGGCTTGGTAGCCAATGATGGAGCCCCGGACCACTGCCTCCCCTACTGACTGCGCAGGCACGGCACAGGGGGGAAATGGGAACTCGGGAGATGTTAGAAAGGAGAAACTTTAGTTGACTTAAAACACACAAAAAACCCTCTCACAGCAAATTATGTGCTACTGATGCCACAAATGAATCGGTCTTGAATGATAATTCTTTAGAGAATGTTGATTGCTAAAGAACAATGTTCAGAACACTGCGCGCCTGGAGGGGCGGCGTGAGAAGGTTGACGGTGTAAAAAGAGGTGAGGTTGGCTGCATGCGAGGTGCTCAGAATCAGCAGCGGAGAGAGCATACCAAAACACTAGCCAACCATTCCAGAGAGAACACTCAAGGGACAGCCATTGCGCACCTGGAAGGGAGGAGTGAGGAGGTTGACGGTGTAAAAAGAGGTGAGGTTGGCTGCATGCGAGGTGCTCAGAATCAGCAGCGGAGAGAGCATACCAAAACACTAGCCAACCATTCCAGAGAGAACACTCAAGGGACAGCCATTGCGCACCTGGAAGGGAGGAGTGAGGAGGTTGACGGTGTAAAAAGAGGTGAGGTTGGCTGCATGCGAGGTGCTCAGAATCAGCAGCGGAGAGAGCATACCAAAACACTAGCCAACCATTCCAGAGAGAACACTCAAGGGACAGCCATTGCGCACCTGGAAGGGAGGAGTGAGGAGGTTAACGGTGTAAAAAGAGGTGAGGTTGGCTGCATGCGAGGTGCTCAGAATCAGCAGCGGAGAGAGCATACCAAAACACTAGCCAACCATTCCAGAGAGAACACTCAAGGGACAGCCATTGCGCACCTGGAAGGGAGGAGTGAGGAGGTTAACGGTGTAAAAAGAGGTGAGGTTGGCTGCATGCGAGGTGCTCAGAATCAGCAGCGGAGAGAGCATACCAAAACACTAGCCAACCATTCCAGAGAGAACACTCAAGGGACAGCCATTGCGCACCTGGAAGGGAGGAGTGAGGAGGTTAACGGTGTAAAAAGAGGTGAGGTTGGCTGCATGCGAGGTGCTCAGAATCAGCAGCGGAGAGAGCATACCAAAACACTAGCCAACCATTCCAGAGAGAACACTCAAGGGACAGCCATTGCGCACCTGGAAGGGAGGAGTGAGGAGGTTAACGGTGTAAATAGAGGTGAGGTTGGCTGCATGCGAGGTGCTCAGAATCAGCAGCGGAGAGAGCATACCAAAACACTAGCCAACCACTCCAGAGAGAACACTCAAGGGACAGCCATTGCGCACCTGGAAGGGAGGAGTGAGGAGGTTGACGGTGTAAAAAGAGGTGAGGTTGGCTGCATGCGAGGTGCTCAGAATCAGCAGCGGAGAGAGCATACCAAAACACTAGCCAACCATTCCAGAGAGAACACTCAAGGGACAGCCATTGCGCACCTGGAAGGGAGGAGTGAGGAGGTTAACGGTGTAAAAAGAGGTGAGGTTGGCTGCATGCGAGGTGCTCAGAATCAGCAGCGGAGAGAGCATACCAAAACACTAGCCAACCATTCCAGAGAGAACACTCAAGGGACAGCCATTGCGCACCTGGAAGGGAGGAGTGAGGAGGTTAACGGTGTAAAAAGAGGTGAGGTTGGCTGCATGCGAGGTGCTCAGAATCAGCAGCGGAGAGAGCATACCAAAACACTAGCCAACCATTCCAGAGAGAACACTCAAGGGACAGCCATTGCGCACCTGGAAGGGAGGAGTGAGGAGGTTGACGGTGTAAAAAGAGGTGAGGTTGGCTGCATGCGAGGTGCTCAGAATCAGCAGCGGAGAGAGCATACCAAAACACTAGCCAACCATTCCAGAGAGAACACTCAAGGGACAGCCATTGCGCACCTGGAAGGGAGGAGTGAGGAGGTTAACGGTGTTGTAAAAAGAGGTGAGGTTGGCTGCATGCGAGGTGCTCAGAATCAGCAGCGGAGAGAGCATACCAAAACACTAGCCAACCATTCCAGAGAGAACACTCAAGGGACAGCCATTGCGCACCTGGAAGGGAGGAGTGAGGAGGTTGACGGTGTAAAAAGAGGTGAGGTTGGCTGCATGCGAGGTGCTCAGAATCAGCAGCGGAGAGAGCATACCAAAACACTAGCCAACCATTCCAGAGAGAACACTCAAGGGACAGCCATTGCGCACCTGGAAGGGAGGAGTGAGGAGGTTGACGGTGTAAAAAGAGGTGAGGTTGGCTGCATGCGAGGTGCTCAGAATCAGCAGCGGAGAGAGCATACCAAAACACTAGCCAACCATTCCAGAGAGAACACTCAAGGGACAGCCATTGCGCACCTGGAAGGGAGGAGTGAGGAGGTTAACGGTGTAAAAAGAGGTGAGGTTGGCTGCATGCGAGGTGCTCAGAATCAGCAGCGGAGAGAGCATACCAAAACACTAGCCAACCATTCCAGAGAGAACACTCAAGGGACAGCCATTGCGCACCTGGAAGGGAGGAGTGAGGAGGTTAACGGTGTAAAAAGAGGTGAGGTTGGCTGCATGCGAGGTGCTCAGAATCAGCAGCGGAGAGAGCATACCAAAACACTAGCCAACCATTCCAGAGAGAACACTCAAGGGACAGCCATTGCGCACCTGGAAGGGAGGAGTGAGGAGGTTGACGGTGTAAAAAGAGGTGAGGTTGGCTGCATGCGAGGTGCTCAGAATCAGCAGCGGAGAGAGCATACCAAAACACTAGCCAACCATTCCAGAGAGAACACTCAAGGGACAGCCATTGCGCACCTGGAAGGGAGGAGTGAGGAGGTTGACGGTGTAAAAAGAGGTGAGGTTGGCTGCATGCGAGGTGCTCAGAATCAGCAGCGGAGAGAGCATACCAAAACACTAGCCAACCATTCCAGAGAGAACACTCAAGGGACAGCCATTGCGCACCTGGAAGGGAGGAGTGAGGAGGTTGACGGTGTAAAAAGAGGTGAGGTTGGCTGCATGCGAGGTGCTCAGAATCAGCAGCGGAGAGAGCATACCAAAACACTAGCCAACCATTCCAGAGAGAACACTCAAGGGACAGCCATTGCGCACCTGGAAGGGAGGAGTGAGGAGGTTAACGGTGTAAATAGAGGTGAGGTTGGCCGTATAGGAGGTGCTCAGGATACAACCAGCCAGAGAGAGCATACCAGCCAGTGCTCATAGGGGTGCTCCTCACTGTCATTCCCACACAACAACGCACCTGCAGCGGAGGAGTGAGCACGGTGTAGATAGAAGTCAGGTTGGCCGTATACGAGGTGCTGAGGATGAGCATACCACCACACCAGAGGGAGCATACCATCACACCAGCCAGCCAGTCCAAAGAGAACACTCAAGGGACAAGCAGTGCCCACCTGGAGGGGTGGAGTGAGCAGGTTGACGGTGTAGATAGAAGTCAGGTTGGCCGTATACGAGGTGCTCAGGATGAGCACCAGAGCGAGCACCACACCATACCACACCAAACCATACCACACATGGAGGGGTGGAGTGAGAAGGTTGACGGTGTAGATAGAAGTCAGGTTGGCCGTATACGAGGTGCTCAGGATCAGCACCAGAGCGAGCACCACACCATACCACACCAAACCATACCACACCTGGAGGGGTGGAGTGAGCAGGTTGACGGTGTAGATAGAAGTCAGGTTGGCCGTATACGAGGTGCTCAGGATGAGCACCAGCCCGTACCACACCAGCACCGGCACGCGTGCCAGCAATGTGTGAACCTCCACCGGCACGAGAAAGTAGCTCTCTGAAACGAAATCCACAGCGCCTCCCATAGGTCTTGAAGCAGAGAGAAGGCTTTGGAGCGGCAGCGAGAAACACTCAAGGGAGGGACAACCAACGCTCACCTGGAGGGGCGGAGTGAGCAGGTTGACAGTGTAGATCGAGGTGAGGTTGGCTGTGTACGAGGTGCTGAGAATCAGCACCAGCCCGTACCACACGAGCACCGGCACGCGTGCCAGCAGCGTGTGAACCTCCACCGGCACGAGAAAGTAGCTCTGGAAGGCAATCCACAGCGCCTCCCAGAGATCTTGGAGGAACGAGAAGGCTTTCGAGCGGCAGCGCGCGGCCTTGGTGTCTCCCTCGACGGGGTGTTGCAGGAAGAGGGAGGAGTTGAGGCGTTCTAGGAAGAGGATGGTGAGGGCGAAGAGGAGAGCGGCTATGGCGAGCCAGAGCCACATGGAAGGGGAGAAGGGCACGAGCGGCGTCCAGGGGTTGGAGTCTTCCGGTGCTAGCGTGACCATTGCCAGGCTAGAAGACTGGGTGGACCAAGGGCACCGAGGGAGCAGGGAGAGAGAAGTGGAGGGGGGAAGCGGGTGTGTACAGAGGGTGAAAAGCACGAGGGGCTTCCAGGGGTTGAAATCTTCTGGTGCGAGCGTGACCATTGCTAGACTTGAGGGCTGGGGGAGTGAGGGTGAAGGGAAGGGGGTGACGGCAACCCAGGCCAGCCATGCAGAATGTGTGGACAGATGAGTACTCATGCAGCCATACACATGAGTACTTCTCTTGTGTTTGTGACTTGGATAGTGTGTGAGGAGCGAGCACTGACCATGAAGGCTGATGAGAAGGTGACGATGCGAGTGCGTTGACTCGTGATCACAATGTCTCCCACTGCTCCGTCTAGTTTCTGCATGCGCGCAGGGACACAAAAACACATGCACAGACACGCGCAGGCACGCGCACATGCACATGCACATACACGCGCGCGCACACACATGCACACGCACACGCACATGCACGCATAATTGCACACACACGCACACATGCAGACACACACGCGCCCACGCGGACCCACATGCACACACGCGCCTTGATGAGAAAGTGTTTGAGGAGACTGGTTGTAATGAACCACAGAGAGAGCAGCTAGTGCAAAACAAAGACAGCTCGCTGAAAATAAATACAGAACAAAGGCACAGAAAAGAAACAATCAATTACACCCTCCCACTGTGTCTGTTCACTTCTAGAACACCCACCTTGGCCGCCATGGCTTGCAGCATCTCATCATAGCTGGGATTTGAAGAGCCGTTGCCAAACAGCACAAACTGAGACAACAAGGGATACTTCAGGTGCGCACGCTGCACCTCACACAGTAAAGAAGATCAAGAGTCCACACCCACCTTGTCCGCCACGGCTTGCAGCATCTCGTCATAGCTGGGGTTGGAGGAGCCGTTGCCAAACAGCGCAAACTGAGACAACAAGGGATACTTCAGGTGCGCACGCCGCACCTCACACAGTAAAGAAGATCAAGAGTCCACACCCACCTTGTCCGCCACGGCTTGCAGCATCTCGTCATAGCTGGGGTTGGAGGAGCCGTTGCCAAACGGCACAAGCTGAGGCGCATCACACATCCGGATGCCTCACACCCATGTGTTGAAGTTCAGTTAAGACCCACCTTGTCAGCCACGGCTTGCAGCATCTCGTCGTAGCTGGGGTTAACAGCCCCGTTGCCAAACGGCACAAACTCGTAGCGGAGAGGGTACTTGAGGTGAGCTGCTATGGCTCTGAAGACGGCCACAGGGAACCCTCCCACAGCTGCCTGGTCTGATTCGCTTCCTGTGGTGCTGCTGGCGATACTGGAAAATTGGTGAAAGCCCTGGAACAAGGGAGCAGGCGGGCAGGAGGAGGCAGAGCAGGGGGCAGAAGGGGGTACTTGAGGTGTGCTGCTGTGGCTCTGAAGACGGCCACAGGGAAACCCCCCACAGCGGCTTGATCAGCCTCATCCCTTGTGGTGTTGCTGGCGATGCTTGAAAACTGGTCAAAGCCCTGATGTGGGGAAGGAGGAGTGGGGGAAGGGGACAAAGCAGGGAAGGGGAGAGCAGCAGCAAGGGTCACTGGAGGTGAGCTGATGCTAACCCCAAGGTGCCTGATAAGTCACCTGATGAGAGGCCTTTACAACCCAACTTGCTTCACACACCAACCCCCATCGCACCCCAGCTACCCTCACACCTCAACTCCCCGTCCAACACCAACTCACCATTTTCACCGGCACAGCCAGCCGAAGCTTCTTCTTGGGAAGGTAACCCCAAGGTGCCTGATAGGGGCCTTCCTTCACACACACACACTCCCATCACACTCCAACCCCCATCCCATCGCACCCACAAATCCCACCATGCCCCACTCCCTGTCACAAACCCAGCTTACCATTTTCACAGGGACAGCCAGCCGGAGCTTCTTCTTGGGAAGGTAACCCCAAGGTGCCTGATAGGGGCCTTCCTTCACACACACACACTCCCCATCACACTCCAACCCCCATCCCATCGCACCCACAAATCCCACCATGCCCCACTCCCTGTCACAAACCCAGCTTACCATTTTCACAGGGACAGCCAGCCGGAGCTTCTTCTTGGGAAGGTAACCCCAAGGTGCCTGATAGGGGCCTTCCTTCACACACACACACTCCCATCACATTCCAACCCCCATCCCATCGCACCCACAAATCCCACCATGCCCCACTCCCTGTCACAAACCCAGCTTACCATTTTCACAGGGACAGCCAGCCGGAGCTTCTTCTTGGGAAGGTAACCCCAAGGTGCCTGATAGGCACGGAGGGAGGGGGAGAGATGGCAGCAAAAATATTAGAGGGTGGGGATGAGTGAGGGAGAAAGGAAAGGGTTTGGGGAGAGAGGGGGGGAAGGGAAGTGAGGAAGGTTCGTGTGTTAGAATTATATATATTGTAGCATGCTAAGCACATGTGACTGTACACCAATTGTGGTGTACAGTTGGGTTGGGACTACACCCAACATTGGGTGTAGCCTTGCACTTTGGGGTGCCAATCCACCCAATTGTGGTGGAGCCCCCAAATTGCAACCCTCTTGACTTTTTGGGTACCTCACTTCACAATTGAGGCCACCACAAGCCAAGTGGGCCTAGGGTTGCCACACTTCTTAGAAGTGTGGGCAACCCAACCCACCCCACCTATGGTTACCTCACTTCCCAAAGTGAGGCCAACCCAACCATAGGTTGGGTTCCTCCTTCCCTTCCAAGCTTCTCTTCCCAAACTATGTATGCTAGGTTTGCTCTCTAATCAAATCACTTGTTCAATTCACATCTTTCACATCGTGTGAATGAGAAATGAAGTCTTATAAGGGGCCGGGGGAAGGGGAAGTCAAAGACGAGGTAAGGAGCCGAGAGGGGGAGCGGTAGGAAGAACACAACTTGAAAAGTGTTTTTTTTCTTCTTCTTCTTTCTTTCTTTCTTTCTTTCTTTCTTTCTTTCTTTCTTTCTTTCTTTCTTTCTTTCTTTTGCCCCCAAGCTTTTGCAAACGACAGGTTGCCTTCTATTTCTCTGCAAGAAGCGTCTGCAAAGCTCCAACTTTATGATCCGACCCTCAAATGCCCTCACCTGATTTATCCTCACCTGATTTATCCTCACCTGATTTGATCCTCACCTGATTTGGTCCTCACCTGATTTGATCCTCACCTGATTTGGTCCTCACCTGATTTGGTCCTCACCTGATTTGACCCTCACCTGATTTGATCCTCCAGGCCACACAACTGTTGACCACCTATCGTTGGCCCCTCGCTGCACTAGTCGCTGGTGGGAGGGATGGAGGAGAGTGAGGAGAGTAGGAGGGAGGAGAGTGAGAGGGAGGGAGTAAGGGGGGCAGGGTGGGACAAGGAATGAGTGGGGAAGGATTGACTGCGTTGACTGCATTGACCACTCCTGCCCTGCAGTACCGTCCACCACATTGACTCCATTAACTGCTTTAACGCTGCATTGACTTCATCGACCGCATTGACTCCCTTGGGATTACCTTGGTGGTGGACAGCAGTCCTCTGCTGCGATGCCAGTATGCCACCACATGAGCACTACGGTTGACCATGATAGTTGTATAACGTATAAACACTGCATTGACTGAATTGACTCCCTTGGGATTACCTTGGTGTTGGACAGCAGCCCTCTGGAGCTCTGCCAGTATGCCACCACACGAGCAGTGCCGTTGACCACATTGATAACCTCCAAGTCGCTCTTGTCCCGGTCCCCGTTGGGGAGCAGATTCAACCTGCATAGCCACGTGAAAGGTAGATAAGAGTGCTTGTTTCAATGGGCAGTGCCGTTCACCACGTTGACCACGTTGACCACGTTGACCACATTGACCACATTGACCACGTTGACCACATTGATGACCTCCAGATCGCTCTTGTCCCGGTCGCCGTTTGGCAGCAGATTCAACCTGCATGGGAGACCACGTGGGAGATAGGTAGAGTGCCTGTTTTGATGTGCAGTGGAGTTGACCACGTTGACCTTCGTTGACCACGTTAATAACCTCCAAGTTGCTCTTTTCCCGGTCTCCGTTGGGCAGCAGATTCAACCTGCATGGGAGACCACGTGGGAGATAGGTAGAGTGCCTGTTTTGATGGGCAGTGGCGTTGACCACGTTGACCTTCGTTGACCACATTGATAACCTCCAAGTCGCTCTTATCCCGGCCTCCGTTGGGCAGAAAATTCAACCTGCATGCATGGCGTGTGTGTGAGGCACGTGGAAAACAGGTTCAACAGGCAGTCGTGTTGACCGCGTTGACCACGTCGACCACATTGATCACATTAACCACGTTGACCGCGTTGACCACGTTGACCACATTGACCACATTGACCACGTTGACCACATTGACCACATAGACCACGTTGACCACATTGATAACCTCCAAGTCGCTCTTGTCCCGGTCCCCGTTGGGCGGCAGATTCAACCTGCGTGGATGGATGGGCAGTGGGAGATAGGGAGTGCTTTGTTTCAATAGGCAGTGGTGTTGACTGCGTTGACCATGTTGACCACAATGACAACCTCCCTCCAATAGGCAGTCGCACTTGTCACGCTCCCCGTTGGGCAGAAGAGTTGACTTTTGAGTCGACTCAAAAGTTGACTTTTGACTTAAACCCTTTAAACCCGTCCCTCACCTCCTAGTGACCCCATTTATATCCGTCTGCAGCAGCAGCACCTCTTGAGTTTCCCCCTATCTCCCTCCCCCAACCCCAACTCTCAATCTCCTCTCATTGCCAGCTCTCCCTCCCCATCATCCCCTCTCCCCCTCTTACCTCCCAGTGACCCCGTTTATTTCCGTCTTCAACAGCACCTCGCATGTTTACACCTCTCACCCCTCTCACATCCCTCCCCCCCTCTCACCTCCCAGTAACCCCGTTTATTTCTGTCTGCAGTAGCACCTCGCATGTTTACACCTCTCACCCCTCTCACATCCCTCCCTTTCCCCCTCTCACCTCCCAGTAACCCCGTTTATTTCCGTCTTCAAAAGCACCTCGCGAAGAGCAGCGCCGTCTGAGAGGGGAGAGGGAAGGTGGGATGGGGGGAGGAGCAGGGGAGAGCAGGAAGGGGGAAGAGTGAGGGGGAGGAGCTTTTTCCTCGAGTGACCCCTTTTATTTCCGTCTTCAACAGCACCTCGCGAAGAGCAGTGCCGTTTGCGAGGTGATGGGGGGAAAGGGGAGGGCGGGGAAGGGGATGATGGGAGGGGGAAAGGGAGGGAGGGGTTACTGTACGGGGAGAATGTGAGGAGAGTGGGGGAGAGGAGGGGGGGAGCTACCCCAGTGACCCCTTCAATTTCCGTCTGCAGCAGCAGCAGCAGCACCTCGCACAGCGCCGTCTGAGCTGGAAGGTGGTGATTGGGGGAGGAGGAGAGGGAAAGGAGAGTAGGGAAGAGAGGAGAGTGTGAAGGGAGAATAGGATAGGGGCACCTCACAGTCACACATGGTTACATGTTCCCTCACATGCTCCCCCACATGCTCCCCCACATGCTCCCCCACATGCTCCCCCACATGCTCCCCCACATGCTCCCCCACATGCTCCCCCACATGCTCCCCCACATGCTCCCCCACATGCTCCCCCACATGCTCCCCCACATGCTCCCCCAGATGTCCACACGCCCAAAGGCTTACATGGTCGAACGTTGGTGCCTGTGAGCAGGCGCGAGATGGAGTTATGCCCAATGACCGACTCTGGCAGTGCTGCTTGCTCACCATCACTACCAGCACCACTCATGCTACTGCTGCTCACATGCCCTTCACATGCCCTTCACATGCCCCTCATATGCCCCTCACATGCCCTTGTGCTTACATGGTCGAACGTTGGTGCCTGAGAGGAGAGGCGAGAGGGAGTTGTGGCCAATCACCGACTGCAACCCCATCTCGCCTCTCCTGCAGTGCTGCTTCCCCGCCACCACTACCACTACCACCTATGCTGCTGGTGGTGTTCACATGACCCTCACATGCCCCTCACATGCCCCTCACATGCCCCTCACATGCCCCTCACATGCCCCCTCTCACGCCCCCACGCACTTACATGGTCTGACTTTGATGCCGGAGAGGAGGGGCGAGATTGAGTTGTGCCCAATGACCGACTCCGGCAGTGCTGCTTGCTCTCCAACACTTGTGCTGCTGCTATTGTTAGCGGTGGTGGTGCTGCTGCTGCTGCTTGTGTTGCCAGCAGCAACAGTGCCATTGCTGCTGCTGGTGCTGTTGCTGCTCGTGGTGGTGGTGTTGCTGGTGGTGTTGCTGCCGGGAGTAAAAACACCAGTATCAACAGCGGTTCGCAGGGCGTGGGCGACAAACATGATGGTGTCGTATCCCAGAAGAGTGTAGATGTCCGGCTGGGATAGGGGAGGACAGGGGAAGGCAACAGGGTGCAAATGATGGTGGAGGGAAAGGAGAGCGTGAGTGACGAACATAATTGTGTCGTATCCCAGCAGCGTGTAGATGTCCGGCTGGGGCGGGGAGGGGAGGGGGGGGGGGAGGGGGGGGGGGAGATTTGCGGTTAGGGTCACACCATGGGATGGGAGGTTAGGCTGTGAGGCACATGACAATTGCACAGGAATGCAATAGCATGCACAGTTACACACAGGAGGGGACAGGTGAGAGGGCCAAATCCCACTGTGGATTAGGAGAGAAGACGTACTGTTGCTGTTAATTTCTAGCGCCTACACCACTTCACACCACACCACGCCACACAACACCACACCACGCCACACCACACCGTACTGCACACCAACGCACCTTCTCCCTTGCCCCCGGGTACTGCTTGGGATCCACACTGTTCCAGAGCTTGTTGAAACTCGCGAGCTGAGGTGATGGCGGCACACCACACCACACCGCGTCACACCACACTCAATCCCAACCCAACCCATTGAGTTGACCACACATACACCCATAGAGTTGACCACACATACACCCATAGAGTTGACCACACATACACCCATTGAGTTGACCACAAATACACCCATAGAGTTGACCACACATACACCCATAGAGTTGACCACACATACACCCATAGAGTTGACCACACATACACCCATAGAGTTGACCACACATACACCCATAGAGTTGACCACACATACACCCATTGAGTTGACCACACATGCACGCACCTTCTCCCTGCCCCCGGGTACTGCTTGGGATCCACGCTGTTCCAGAGCTCCCTTCCTGTGAACTGCTAACCACACAGCACCACACCGCACAGCACCACACCGCACAGCACCACACTGCACCACACCGCACAGCACCACACTGCACCACATCACACACACCTTCTCTCCTGCCCCTGGGTACTGTTTAGGATCCACACTGTTCCAAAGCTTGTTGAAACTCGCGAGCTCAGGAGATGGCGGGAGGTAGGCTTGAATGCCCAACACGCCCTGAGGGGATGTCGTGTGGGGAGGAGAGGAAAGTGGGGCAGGAGGAAGCAGGGGAGGGTACGGGAGCTAAGGGGGTTTGATTGAAGCTTGCGAGCTCAGGAGATGGCGGCAGGTAGGCCTGAATGCCCAACACACCCTGGGGGTTGGGATGATAGGGTGGGCAGGAAAAAGGGGCAGGAGGAAGCAGGAGAGGGTGACGTTTGCAAGACCAGGTGATGGCGGCAGGTAGGCCTGAATGCCCAACACGCCCTGGTGAGGGGTGTGGGAAACGGGGAAAGGGGGGAAGGGGGGGAAGGAGGAGAAGGGGGGAAGGGGGGAAGGGGAGCTCGCGAGCTCAGGAGATGGTAGCAGGTAGGCCTGAATGCCCAACACGCCCTGGAGGGATGGTTGGGGCGGGAAGGAAAGAGGGGTAGGAGGAAGCAGGGGAGGGTAGGGGAGTAGGTTATGGGGAGTTGAAGCTCGCGAGCTCAGGGGATGGTAGCAGGTAGGCCTGAATGCCCAACACGCCCTGGTGGGGGGTGTGGGAAACGGGGAAAGGGGGGGTAGAGGATGCGGTATGGGCATGAGAAGGGATGTCGTGTGGGTGTGGGGGAAGGGAAGGGGGATGCTGGTGTGGGGGTGATGTATCATGTAGTATACAGGGGTACGAAGGGGTGAAATGAAGGGGGGGCGAGCGAGGGGGGATATGTGTGCGTATGTAGTGTGAGAGGCGTCAGGTAGGCCTTGCATGCTACCAGAGCGTAAGTGGCTTTCATTGACGTGCTGACGTGGACTCATCTCCATGGCAGGTCTGTCTGACGTGGACTGACTCACCTCCATGGCCTTCCTGACGTGGACTGACTCACCTCCATGGCTTTCCTGACGGGTGCCAGCGTTTCGTCTCCACTAATCACAACTGTCCACGTGGCCTCTGTGGCTATCCACGCGTATGGCGCAGTCAGCAGCCCCAGCTCCATGGCTGGGAGTAGGGAGGTTCGGGGGTACAGGGGTATGGGGAACGGTTGAATGCGGTGAAAAGGGATGCGTAATGGTGCATGGTGCATGGGGCGCGGTGCACTGTCCACATTGTCTCTGTGGCTATCCATGCATATGGAGCAGTCAGCAGGCCCAGCTCCATGGCTGGGAGGTAAGAAGCATGGGGATTGAGAGGCATGGGGCATGGTGGAATGCGGTGAAAGGGGATGTTCAGTGGTGCAAATCACAACCGTCCACGTGGCCTCTGTGGCAATCTACGCGTATGGAGCTGTCAGCAGCCCCAGCTCCATGGCTGGAAGACGAGTGGGGAGGAACGGGGGGTTAAGGAGGTACGAAAGCATGGTGGTAATGGGTAAGAAGGTAGAGTGCATGGTGTGTGGTGCTGTCAGTGGTGCATGTGGTATGATGGAGCTGTCACCAGCCCCAGCTCCATGACTGTAAGACGAGTGGGGAGGCATGGGGTAAGGTGGAATCGCTGCAGCAGCTACCAGTCCCCTCTACCAAACAACCTACGACCGATAAAGACCCGCCCCGTGTCCTGCCCCCCTGCATCATGCACCACCACCACTGTCGACTACTCCCCTTCCCTTTCCACCAGAGGAAGCAGCCGTTCCCTCCAGCTCTAGCATTCCCCCTTCCACCTGCTGCCTACAGCAATCCTATCACTCCCACATACCAGCGATGAACACCCGCCCCCTGTCCTGCCCCCCTGCATCGTGCACCACCACAACTGTCGACTCCCCCTGCTCCACCAGAGGCAGCAGCTCTACTCCCCATCAACCACTTATACCACTCCCTACCCCCCAGCTATCCCACCAGCAAAGCAAGCCATTCCCCCTTACCAGCGATGAACACTCGCCCCGTGTCCTGCCCCCCTGCATCGTGCACCACCACCACTGTCGACTCCTCCCTTTCCACCAAAGGCAGCAGCTTCTCTTTCACATCTGCCACGGTCCAGGTGATGTCGAGCGGTATTGCTCGAGATATCCTTGCCTTGGAGCCCTGGTAAGGAGAAGGAGGAGAAGGAGATGGGGAGGGAGAGGGAAAGGGAAAGGGAGTGGGGTGTGCTTTGATTCGATTCCTCTCGCTCCACCAGGAGAGGCAGCAGCTTCTCCTCACGTCTGCCACTGTCCACGTGATGTCCACTTGAGTCGACTCAAAACGCCATGATGCTGTAGGGTGTTTTTGAGAATTCTCAAAAACACCCTGCAGCGGTTGTCGATGTAGACAGTGCCAACCTCCATCCACCGGTCCTCGTCTTTACCTACCTTCAACAGCTCAGCCCAGCCCAGCTCAGCCCAGCTCAGCTCAGCCCAGCCCAGCTCAGCCCAGCTCAGCCCAGCTCAGCTCAGCCCAGCTCAGCTCAGCTCAGCTCAGCTCAGCTCAGCTCAGCTCAGCTCAGCTCAGCTCAGCTCAGCCCAGCACAGCCCAGCACTTACCTTGTTCTGAAGCGCTGATTCGAGAGCCACGATGCCGTTGCGGCCAAAGCGGTTGTCAATGTAAATGGTTACCACCTCCATCCAGCGATCCTCCTCGTGATGCCTGATAATGTCTGCCACACCGCACAGCACCACACAGCACATCACCCCAACACGCAGTAATACGCAGCACATGTGAAGCGGTTATCGATGTAAATGGTTACCACCTCCATCCACCGGTCCTCCTCGTGATGCCGGAGAATGTCTGCATGGCAGGCAGCAGGGAGAACAGCACAGCACAGCACAGCACAGCACCGCACATCAGGGTCAGTTGTTCGATGTAGATGGTTAACACCTCCATCCACCGGTCCTCCTCGTGATGTCTGTGTGGAGGGAAGGAGAACAGCACCGCACCGCACAGCACCACACATCAGGGTCGGTTGTTCAGTGTAGATGATTACCACATCCATCCACCTGTCTTCCTCTTGACGCTGGATGATGTCTGCGTGACAGCAGGGAGAACAGCACAGCACAGCACGGCACAGCACAGCACAGCACAGCACCACACATCAGGGGCGGTTGTTCAATGTTGATGGTTACCACCTACCTCCATCCACCGGTCCTCCTCATGATGCCTGATTATGTCTGCATGGGAGGAGAGGGAAAGCAGTGCAAAGCATTTCTGCAAGAGGCAAGACAGGAGTATTAGAGCAGCCAATCAGGTCCGTCCGTGCAGCACAAAGCACGACAGCTGAAGCAGTGAACAATTATCCACCTGCAGAGTGATTTTTGAGATTCTCGAAAATTGCACAAGAGGCAAGACGGAAGTATTAGACCAGCCAATCCCTGCAGTGCAGCACAAAGCACGACGGATTGGCACAATGTTGGTTGAAGCAGTGAACACTTATCCACCTGCAGAGTAGCGTCTGCATTTTCCTAGTTACCACCAGCAATTCCTAGTTACCACCAGCAATTTCATGGGCATGATTGGTATATACCTGCGATTGCCTGCATCTCAGGAGCATCGCTGTGGGTGGTGCGCATGACAAACTGCCGCTCCGTGCTGACAGTGAGGGTACACTCAGTTATAACCTGCAATTTCACGGGCATAACTGGTAATTACCTGCGATTGCCTGCATCTCAGCAGCGTCGCTGTGGGTGGTGCGCATGACAAACTGCCGCTCCGTGCTGACAGTGAGGGTGGGATCCGTAGCAGCATATGCAACCATGGGTATCTGAAAGAAGGCACAAGGGGAGGGATGAGATGAGAGGAGAAAAGAACTAAGAGGAATAGAGAAGCAAGTCAAAAGAGAAGACTGCCGCTCTGTGCTGACAGTGAGGGTGGGATCCGTAGCAGCATATGCAACCATGGGTATCTGAAAGAAGGCACAAGGGGAGGGATGAGATGAGAGGAGAAAAGAACTAAGAGGAATAGAGAAGCAAGTCAAAAGAGAAGACTGCCGCTCTGTGCTGACAGTGAGGGTGGGATCCGTAGCAGCATATGCAACCATGGGTATCTGAAAGAAGGCACAAGGGGAGGGATGAGATGAGAGGAGAAAAGAACTAAGAGGAATAGAGAAGCAAGTCAAAAGAGAAGACTGCCGCTCTGTGCTGACAGTGAGGGTGGGATCCGTAGCAGCATATGCAACCATGGGTATCTGAAAAAAGAAACAAGGGGAGAGATGAGAGGAGAGGAGAAGTTAGGGTGGAGTGCGGTTCCAAGCAGTGGGGGTGGGATTCGGAGCGGTGAGGTGAGGTTGATGTGCGTGCCAGCACTGAAAAACACACTTATACCGTTCACTCAGTCAATCCGGGCGGCATTCTCTCGGCCAATCCGGGCAGCAATCTCTCGGCCAATCCGAGCGGCATTCTCTCGGCCAATCCGGGCGGCGTTCACTCGGCCAACCCGGGTGGGCGGCATTCCCTCGGCCAACCAGGGCAGTGTTCCAGGCCGGCCTTTCACGACTGACTTGGGCGGCAATCCCGAGCCTGACCAACTCGGGCTGGGTGGTATTCTTTGGCTGATCTGGCAGCAACATTTTCGGGCTTGACTTAGGCTGCATTCCCTAGGCTGCTGACGTGGACGACATTCCCTTGGCTGACCAACCCGGGCGGCAATTCCTAGGCTTGGTTGGGCGGCATTCCCTAGGCTGATCTGGCAGTGGCATTGCGTAGGCTGACTTGGCGGCATTCCCTGGGCCGCTGACGTGGATGGCCTTCTCTAGGCTGACCAATTCGGGCGGCAATTCCTACGCTGACACAGGCGGTATTCTCTACACTAACCTACCAGGGCGGCAATCTCTAGGCTGGCCTCAACGGCAATCTCTAGGCTAATCTGGGCGGCATTCCCAAGGCTGCTTCCGAGCAGCGCCACCTGTCCCGACAGCATTGGCCCCACAATGAGCAGCGGTATTCCCTAGACTGGCCCCGTTATTCCCTAGGCTGACCTGTGCGGCATTCCCGAGGCTGCTTCCGAGCAGCGCCACCTGTCCCGACAGCATTGGCCCCACAATGAGCAGCGGATCCTTCTTCATCGCCTCGAGACCTGATTGCGGAGAGGCACAAGCGGGAACGGGGAGAGGAGAGGGGAAGAGGGGATAGAGCAACCATCAGCAGCGGCGGATCCTTCTTCATCGCCTCGAGACCTGATGGTGGGGGAGGGTTGGGGGGAGGGAGGGGAAGCGGGGGTGGGGGGGGGGGGCGGGGGCGGTGAGGGGGGAAAGGGCAACGGAAGAAGGGAAACAGGGAAAAAAGGGACAGCATTGGCCCCACGATGAGTGGCGGATCCTTCTTCATCGCCTCGAGCCCTGATGTGGGGGGGAGGGTTGGGGGGAGGGGGGAAGGACAGCATTGGCCCGACGATAAGCAGTGAATCCGTCTTCATCGCCTTGAGACCTGAATGGGTGAGAGAAGAGAATGGGGGAGGGGAGGGGGCAAGTGGGGAAGTCCAGGGGAGTGTTTCAAAAAATTCATCCCCTTTCCTTATCTCAGCGGCTGAGACTCAGCCTCTCGTTGTAAGAAGTCTCAGAACCCGCCCCCTCTCACCTGCCAGCTGTCACCTGCCCTTCTCACCTGCCCTAGCGCCTCCCATAACCTCTCTAGCACTCATCTCATTTCTCACCTCCCCCTCTCTCACCTGCCAGCTGTCACCTCCCCCTCTCTCACCTGCCAGCTGTCACCTCCCCCTCTCTCACCTGCCAGCTGTCACCTCCCCCTCTCTCACCTGCCAGCTGTCACCTCCCCCTCTCTCACCTGCCAGCTGTCACCTCCCCCTCTCTCACCTGCCAGCTGTCACCTCCCCCTCTCTCACCTGCCAGCTGTCACCTCCCCCTCTCTCACCTGCCAGCTGTCACCTCCCCCTCTCTCACCTGCCAGCTGTCACCTCCCCCTCTCTCACCTGCCAGCTGTCACCTCCCCCTCTCTCACCTGCCAGCTGTCACCTCCCCCTCTCTCACCTGCCAGCTGTCACCTCCCCCTCTCTCACCTGCCAGCTGTCACCTCCCCCTCTCTCACCTGCCAGCTGTCACCTCCCCCTCTCTCACCTGCCAGCTGTCACCTCCCCCTCTCTCACCTGCCAGCTGTCACCTCCCCCTCTCTCACCTGCCAGCTGTCACCTCCCCCTCTCTCACCTGCCAGCTGTCACCTCCCCCTCTCTCACCTGCCAGCTGTCACCTCCCCCTCTCTCACCTGCCAGCTGTCACCTCCCCCTCTCTCACCTGCCAGCTGTCACCTCCCCCTCTCTCACCTGCCAGCTGTCACCTCCCCCTCTCTCACCTGCCAGCTGTCACCTCCCCCTCTCTCACCTGCCAGCTGTCCGAGGAACGGCGTCGCGCCGCCGTCCAGCAGTTGCATGTCAAGGCGATGACGTGGCAGCAGGTGAGGGTTAGCGTTGACTTGGTCAACGCCCAGACGCAGGGCTGTGGGGAGTGGAGACAGGGAAAGGGTAGGCAGGGGGCGTGGCGAGGTGACTTGATGGATGACGTTGCATCTGGTCGTAAAAAGAAAAAAATAATAAAAAAGGAAGTGAAAGGCGCTTCCAACAAAACATTTGGTATATGCATGTGCTGAAACAAACGCCAGAATACTTCAAACTTTTGTTTTTGTTGTATGGTAAATGAAAAATTCTGCTGTACCTGTTCCGAGCACTGGCAGAAACTCGAGCGAGACAATACACGCAATTCGAAGAACCCCTTTGGTTCCGTTCCCACTCCCACTGATTCCGCCGTGATTTACGCCGCTGGTACTGTTGGCGTCAGTACTTGTAACATTGGTAACCGCGTCGTCAGCACCGCTACTTCCATTCGTAGTATTCGCGATACTTGCGTTTCCAGCAGTCCCGCCAGTTCCCCCAGACAACCCTGGCGGCTCAGCAGGCTGGTGCGGCGTCGCTGGCAACGGCTGGGTGAGGTTTCCGGGCCAAAAAGGCGAAGATAATTTCGGTGTTCTTATTCGTATTAGACTTCGCCAACCCTCCCTCGTTCTTCTCGAGCCAGACACGTGCGATTCCTCCCGAATCGACCATGTAGCGGCTCTTCCCCGTGCCGCGGCCATGGCTACGGCGATATTGTGACCGTCATATGCGGCATTCGTGGTAACACCTAGGCATAACTGTCGAACCGCTGCTGATCTGCGAAATATCTTATTTCGACCCATCTGGTTACCAGAGAAGCCTCCGTCTCGTCTCCACGCCGTTTGGACCCAAAGTCGTTCGTCGTTGATTTGCGAAACAGCGGCGGGCGTTGTCGCAGATGCGCCGGGAGGTGTTGCGAGTCGCACGGAAAGGGTGGCGAGAAATAGGGTTAGGAGGATGCGGCGCGAGTAAAATAGCCATCCGCCGCAATTTGCGGAGCAATAGTAGCTAATTTGGCAATAATCACTTCGTCGCCAGCGGCAACGACATATTCTATTCCGCCAGCCCGGCCACACGTCGTTAGGGTTCACAAAAAACCCGGGATGACGTGGCAACGACGTCATGTCGGAAGCCGCTTCGAAGGGAGAAAAAAAACGGCTTCCACTGAGTCTCAAGCCGAGACAAAATAGTCACAAAAGCCAGGGTTCCCGGAAAAAATCGCGAAAACAAATCAGCATCGCGGCTTACTAAACTATTTAGTCGTACGAGCCGCCGCACTCGCCAGAAAAAATACCACTCTGACTGATCGTCAAAATCGCAGCCTTTGTCCGAAAGGCAAATTAAAAGTTCCGCACAATCCACGGGGGGGAGAAGCGTTTTTCTGAGGGAGCACACCAACCGAACACTCGTTCTGTAGTCTATGCCTATCGGAGTTGCTATTACGGCGGGAAGAATCGGCGTTTCTGGAAGCACACCAGGCGGCGGGGGCAAACTAGGAGCGGAACGCCGAACGATCGAGTCGCGCCATGAAGTCTCGCCCTGCCGGGCGTGTGAGCATTTGCAGAGAGTTTCTAGAACTTAGTTCACACCATTGCTGGTCTTGTCCTAAAGTTTGACACTAACTTTTTCCCCTCGCGAAACTGGCTCCCCCACGGGCGCCGCTGATAGCCTTGCCTGACCCACCACAACCACATCATTTTCCCCCCCTCCTCTTCATCGGTGCCCCTTTAGTTGGGAGGACGAGACACCACAGACGAGTTACACCAAGAAGCGAATCACACCAAAGTAGCCGTAAACAAGGGTGCTGTTCGCCAGGAAATCGTATTTTGAAATGAAAATGATGGCATCGGCATCGCGACCGCATATGGAAACGGAGGTGGAACCCACCTCCGAGGTTTGGCCGTAATGCCGTTCAGGAAACTTCTGCGCCTGCGGTTGAGAAATTTCTCAACCGCTTCGGGAACCTCCATCCCCACCTTCCCTTCGATCCCTTTTGAACGGCAATGCGACGGCTGTGCCATCGCTGTGCTTTGAAAAACGCAGCATGGCGATGGCATGGCTAGGGGATGGTGTTTTGCCTGGGGACGAAGTTTCGTCCCCGCTTCCATATGCCGTCGAAGCGTTAGATTTGGTGGACAAAAGTGGGCGTTCGCCAGACGCCCACTTTGTTTGTTGGTTTGGACGGTAGGTGAGGCTCGGCACTTTTTTCACGGGCTGACCAGGCTGACGGAGGTTAACGAACTCTAACTGACGGGATCAGGAAGGCGAGACCCACCTTCCTGATCCCGTCGTTATCCCGTCGTTTTTTGCCATATTGGTGCTGGCGAACAGCCCCGAGGACAGACCCACTCCCGAGCAGTTTTTTTTGGCATCATTTCCACAAATGGACAAAGGCAACACTACACGGTCCGCACGCTTGTCTGCCAACTTGGGATTGACTGACTGACAAGAGCCTACGCGCGCGATTTCGACGTGATTGCGATGCGTGCGTGCGATGTGTTGCGAGCGATTAGTGGAGCAGGGCGACAAGGAAGAGAAGTACAGTAGCCCCGTGACGTGGCCTGGTTAGTGGGCGGTTGTAAGGGGCACCTCAGTGTGGGACTGTGGCTCGTGTAGTGAACCTCGATGCGGGATCCCTCGGTAACGGTTACAATACTGCTAATTATGCCGTTTCTCTGTAACACGTCAAAAATCCAAATCTCATTTAAGTCTGCTCTTCTACTAGAGATGTGGTATGGCTGTGAGGGGTCCACAGACGAACATTACACACTCATGGGCGAGGAATTTACAGAATCCACATGACTCTTTTTTCTTCCGGAACTTCAAATATCATACTGAATACCGTAAATAACACGACTTATTCCACAACATTTTTATAGCTTCTTATAAGCTTGGAAGGAGATGGTATTGACTGTAACATTCCCTACGGACGACTTCAGCCAGCATTCTCTTCCTGCTGTGGTAACCGCAAGAACGCAAGTCGTCATCTTTTTGCATCTCTGCATGCACTTTGCTGGTGCTGTGGGGAATGAGTACTTTATGGTTGCTCCCAAAGGAAAATCAATCCCCATAGGAGCAGCAGCAAAGCCCAGTTCTGGACAGGCAAAGAAAGGGAGATTACAAGGGGAGAGTGGGAGGGGGGTTTGGCAGCATGCCCTGGGTTAGTCAAGGTGAGAAACGTTGGGGAAGACTTTACGGGAAGACTATAAGTAGAATCGCATGGGCATCAGGTAATTCTACTTGACAGTCCTCGCAAAAAGTGACAAGGGCAGCAGAAATGCGCGAGTGTGAGTGAGGTTGGTGGTATGGAGGCGCTAGTGAGGGTGTGTTGTGGGGGCGGTGGAGAGGAGGGAGCGGAATATCGGTCACTTACTCTTGGGATTGACACATGCTGTCCTTTTCCTCTTGTAGTCAACTCGGCAGGCAAATACGCCACAACCCCCATTATTGAAGGTGCAACTCCGGGATTGCCTCGACAGCCGATGCCAAAACCCAAGGCTTCTGCCCACAAATCCCTCGGCGCTTCCATTCGTCAACGTAAGTTTCGGGCTGACAGAAATTTTCAGCTCGGGCAGCGTGGGCAGGCTGACGCCCTCGGGCAGCCACATGGAATTTTTCTGGGCAGATCCGTAGTAGGATTGGACGGCTGAGATTTGGCAGGAGCCGGATTGGCAGAAGCCGGGAAAAGTGTTTCCTTGGTAGTCTGAATCAACACAGCTGGTGCCGTCCGGTTCGACGATAGGGTTACCGCATTTGCCGCTGTTACAGGCGTAACCAGCGATGC